GATTGTGTTAGATTGAAATTAATTAGATTGATGAACCACAACCCAAGCTTGAGTCATTAGAGCAAGTATTAGAGGAAGGTAATCGTCTTATTTTAATTGTTTATGCAACCCTTAATACTTAAATCATTAGAGCAAGGGATTCACAATAAAAGAAATAAAATTTCCTATTACACATTAGGCCCGAGTCCGCCATTGATGGGCCAGACTACTTGATCCAAGAGAAGAGAATCAATCATAAATCAAAAGCAATTAATGACTGATGAGGAAATACTCAATCAAACATTATGTACTTGATTGATTAGGGAGAAATCAATCAGATATTTATTACTGACTGTGGTGTCAAAATATTATCCCATAATAAATAAGGAAGATTGCACCTTCCTAAAATAAGAGCTACCCTAGCCCTATAAATAGGAGGTGCCTCTACCTATTCTCTTCACCCCGTTGTTGGGAGTGAGTCCATTCCTTAATATCAGTGGTTTAATTTAACATTAATTACTCTTTTCTTGAATCAGCCGTACTCTTTTCAAAATGATTTCGTAGGATTTCATAGAAAGCTTTGATTCTTTCTTGCGCTTTTGTTTGTGTTTGGGATATCAATATTATTTTGCTTGGTGAACCATGATGAATCCATTTCCTAAAAAATTATGACCCATTGGATCAATTTTACAAGATTTGGTATATGCAAGAATAATAAAGGATTTCTATTAAATTCACATGAGCTGGTGTATTACGGTTCATGAAGGGATAAGAGTGTTGGCACTTCTGGAGCATCTCAAGCTAACCTTCTAGCTGAAATTCTGTATTGGCTGGTGTGTATATGTTGTACTGGTTGTGTACGACAGTGGTTATCAAATGAGGGGTTTAATATTTTATTAAAAAAAAAATTTTCCAAAAAAGAAATCTCAACTACAACATTTCTTGTCAGTTATAATAGACACTATAATTAGTTAAATACGGCGTCTGGTATGCACATCAACAAACGTTGTAATCAATCAATTACGATGTCTGTCATGAGGTATACCAGACGCCTTACACATCTATTATTTTAATTAATTTTTTAAACCACGCAATTCAATTATTAAATACTCTCTTCTGTTTTTACCATAAAATTATAATAACCGACTTGTGGTTTAAAACTTTTGTTAAAATAAGTTAAAAGTAATAAATATGTAAAGAATGCATTTTTTTTCAAATATACCCTTATTTATAAGAGAATGAATGAGAAAGAGAAATAGTAAGAAAAATGTGAAAGAGAAAAGAGATAAAATTGGTAAAAATGCACTTACTGTTCAAACAATCATAAACCGGATAATTTTAAAAAGGATCAAACCAATTCAAAAATTAAAATATTACACATATGACTGGAGGGAGTGTTTATTTCATGTACTTAAAAACATTTTTTAAAGCTAATCTGTACATGCATTTGTGGATATACATATTAATTTTAAGAGTTGCGGCTGTAATTAATTGGAAAGATAGTGCGCGAAGAAAAAGCAGCCAAATTCTTCAAACGCAGAGAGTATCGCTTTCTACCCTTTTATTTTAATTTTTAATATGTAATTTTTCCTGATGTCAAATGAGACTTATTTATAAAAAAAAAAGGGTCTTATCAATTTATGAAAATATCAAATGCTACTCTTATATGCTTTGGCACTCCATTTCAAATTGTAATTATATTCTCATGTAAAATGCCAAAAATGCTCTTAGACCGACTATCATTAGCCAACCAATGGATCACCGGTCTGACTAGTTAAAAAAATCAATTTTAACTTATGTACCAGATTTTCTTGTTCATTTACTTTGTCGTGATTTAGGCACTTAGTGCTTTCTATTTTTCCTGATAAAAAAAAATCAATTTTAGAAAAATTATGATGTAAAACAAGAAAGGATTGGAAGGGATGAGAAGTTAGAGAAGAGGAAGAAGAAGAGAGGAGAAGCAGAGAAGCAGGGAGAACGGGAGAAAAACTAATCGATAAATTCTAAATGCCAAGTCTCATTACAACTGAAACCCTAGACTATTTATAAGGAAGAAATAAAATAAATAAAAAAAATAAAATGAGGGGAGTGGGGTGAGTGGGGTAACTGCCCACGAGTGGGGTGAGTGGAGTAACTGTCCACTCTCTAAAATACAAAAATAATTAAACAAAATAAAACAATAATAAAATAATTAGTTAATCTGCATCATTTCTCCCCAGGTTGGAAGAACTCGCCACTGGAGAGTTGGACAGCTGGAAGTCATCAAGGAAGGCGGGGTCCATACAACGAAATTCGTCCTCGGTAAGCCATGTGGCATTTGCATCAGTGCAGCCTTTCCAACAAACGAGGTAACGACTAATGGGACCTGCTGAAGTGGATATCGTCTGCTCATCCATCACGGCATCAATGGCTGGGGCAGGCGGTGCAACCTTGGGCAACGGTGGAGTTGGGGCTTGGTAGTTTGAGGTACCTACAGAATCATCAAAACACAAAGGGGGCGGCTCGAAAGTGCCTCGGTAAGGAACAAGATCCTCAACATTAAATACTGGATTGATAGCCATATCTAGAGGTAACTCTAATAAGTATGCATTGGGCCCTAACTTCTTGGAAATGCAAAATGGGCCAGAGGCACGGGCATGCAACTTCTTGTAAGGCCTCTTTGGAAAACGCTTAGGCCGTATACGGGCCATGACAAGATCGCCAACATCAAACTCCTGGTGACGTCGATGGACATTAGCAGCTACCTTATACCTGTCATTATTTAAAGTTAACTTATGCCTAACCTCAGCATAAATATCGTGAAGGCGATGTGCAAAGGTCTCGTCGGACTCAGAAGGGCGAGCAGACAGGGGAAGAGGAACAAGGTCAACAGGCTGCTTTGGGTTGTAACCCTAAACAATTTGGAATGGACTTTTGCCAGTGGATCTATTAACTGAGTTATTGTAAGCAAATTCAGCTATAGGCAAGACTAAATCCCAGTTACCAGGCTTATCGCCAACTAAACTACGGAGCAGGTCACCTAAGCTACGGTTAGTCACTTCAGTCTATCCATCAGTCTGAGGGTGGAAAGCAGACGAGAACTTCAGTTGTGTACCGAATAGCTTCCAAAGGGTCTTCCAGAAATAGCTGACAAACTTGACATCCCTATCAGAGACGATAGTGGTAAGCAAACCGTGAAGACGCACAACCTCTCGAAAGAAAAGCTTTGCCAGATATGAGGCATCAGTAGTCCTACTGCACGGAATAAAATGTGCCATCTTTGAGAATCTATCAACCACAACCAAGATAGAGTCGTGCCCTCTCACTGTCTTAGGCAATCCAAGCACGAAATCCATGCTAATGTCCTTCCAAGGTGCCTCAGGAACAGGAAAAGGCATGTACAATCCAGTATTCCTCTTCTTTGCTTTGGCCGTATGGCATATACGACACTGGGAAAGGATTCGAGCAACATCATGCTTAAGGGAAGGCCAGTAGAACCTATCTTCAACCAGGACCGTAGTCTTCTGAATGCCAAAGTGTCCGGCTAACCCCCCAGCATGCAATTCCCAAACAAGAAAATCGCGTACTGACATGCGGGGAATGCACAATCTTGTCCCACGGAACAGGTAGCCATCATTGATAAGGAAATCCACATGATCGTGGCGGCTGCCATCTTTAACCTCATTATAAATGATGCCAAAGTCAGGACACGAGGTGTACTCATCTTTGAGCCTGTCAAAGCCCACAACACTAACCGTCAAAGTGTTGAGAACGTGGATTCTTTGGCTAAGAGTGTCAGCTACTTTGTTCTCTACCCCTGGGTGGTGCTTGACCACGAAGGTAAATTCCTGAATGAATTCGCTCCACTTGGCATGTTTGGCATTCAAGTGCCGTTGGGAGCTAAGGAACTTGAGAGACTGGTGGTCTGAGTAGATGACAACATGTTGGGGAAGGAGATAGTACTTCCAATGTTCTAAAGAGCGAACAATGGCGTAGAACTCCTTGTCGTACGTGGAGTATTTTTGCTTGGCCTCATTAAGCTTCGTACTGAAGTAGGCAACGGGGTGGCCTTCTTGGCTTAGAACGCCTCCTATCCCAACCCCAGATGCGTCGCAATCAACTTCAAAGCACTTGTTGAAATCAGGCAAAGCCAGGATGGGAGCACTTGAGAGTTTCTCCTTAATAGTGTTGAAAGCTGTAGAGGCCGTGGGAGTCCAATTGAACTTATCCTTCTTCAGGCAGTCAGTAATTGGTGACATAAGGGTGCTGAAGTCTCTGATGAAACGCCGATAGAAGGATGCAAGCCCATAGAAGCTGCAGGCTTCATGTAGTGTTTGCGGTTCTGGCCAATCTTGGATAGCTCGGACTATTGCAGGGTCTGCGGACAAGCCTTGTTCTGAGACGATAAATCCGAGAAACATAACTTGATTCTATAGGAAGGAGCACTTTGACAGGTTGAGATAAAACTTCTCCTTCCTAAGGGTCAAAAGCACCTGTCTAAGGTGGTGCAAGTGGTCATCTCTGGACTTACTAAAAACTAGAATGTCATCAAAGTAGATAACCACGAACTTTCCTAGATAGGGCTGCAGCATATGCGTCATCACTCGCATGAATGTACTCGGGGCGTTCGTTAAGCCAAATGGCATAACGAGCCACTCGTACAGTCCATCTTGTGTCTTGAAAGCAGTCTTCCACTCATCTCCTGGTCTGATTTGAATTTGATGGTAACCACTGCGAAGATCAAGCTTGGAGAACCATTTAGATCCAGACACTAAATCAAGCATGTCTTCTAACCTAGGGATCGGGAACCTGTACTTGATAGTTATCTTGTTGATGGCTCGACTATCAACACACATTCTCCATGAGCCGTCTTTCTTCGGAGTCAAAAGGGCAGGGATAGCACAAGGACTGAGGCTATGTTGGATATAGGCCTTCTCAAGTAAGTTGTTAACCTGACGATTGAGCTCTTCTTGATCTTTAGGGTTTATCCTATAGTGTGGAAGGTTGGGGAGCTGTGATCCTAGAACCAAATCGATCGCGTGCTAGATGTTCCTCATGGGTGGCAAGTCAGGAGGTAACTCCTCAGGTGTAACATCTTTAAACTCATCCAAGAGTTGGGTCACTTCTTTTGGAAGGTTGTCAGGTGTTGGTGCAGGAGGAGAAATAACTTTGGAAACAACAGCAAGGATGATATCAACCTCTCTACTTTCTTCGATGAACTGCTTCTCCGTAAGGAGGTGAAGGTTGATAGGCTTAAAGGTGGATCCCTTCATGGGGCCTAGACCTTTTGCTTTTGGCTCAGGCTTCGCAGGACGGAGTAAGATGGTCTTGCCCTCATGTTTAAAGATATGGTTGTTCGCTCGGCCTTGGATAGTGACATCAGGGTCATATAGCCACGGGCATCCTAAAAGAATGTGAGATACATCCATAGGGATCACGACACACAAAACATCTTCCTTGTAGTTGCCCAAATGGAGTGGGACACGACACTGCTGAGTGATAAGCAATGAAGTATTGTCAACCCATGCAACTCGGAAAGGCTTAGCAATTTGCTCCATCTTAAGTCCAAGACGATCAACACCTCAACTAGAGATTACATTCCTTTCACTTCCACTGTCAATAACTAACTTGCATGACTTATCACCGCACTTCACGAAGGTGTGGAAGATGCTGTTCCGTTTCCATGAGTCATCTGGCATTGGGACAGTCAGGAGGCATCGCATCACTCCAAGATGACCCAATGGCATGTCATCACAATTAATTTCTTCGTCCACATCAGAAGGAATATCGACAGGGTCGATGACGACATTTGGCTCGCTCTTGAGTAGTGCATCATCTTGAGATTCGATAAGCAATGCACGTTGCGGGCACTTTGAAGTGATGTGTCCCTTAGAGTGACACTTGAAACACTCTATCGATGAGCTACCTGTGCGAGCGTTCGAGGTGGATGACTCTCTTGGTCTAGAAGCACTTGGCCCTGAAAGTTGTTGACTTACCCGTTGATTGGCCGAAACAGTGGAGCTACATGTTGGACGAGACTCTAATCCAGAGAAGCTGGGACGCCTGAAAGAGGGATACTTAGGCAGGGAATCAATGTCGATAGCCTTATGATATGCTTCCTCTAAAGTGTAAGGATGGTTTACTCTGAGCTCCCTTTGTATGTCATCCCTAAGGCCGCTGATGAACCTCTCAATAACCACAAAACTCGGCTCATTTAAATCATTGCAGATCAGAAGGTCATCGTATCGAGAGACATAGTCAGCTGCCGATGAGGTTCCCTGCTTGAGGTTGTTCAATTGGTTGAAAAGCATGATTAAGTGACTGACCGGCACGTACTTTTCCTTAAGCTTCAACTTCATCTCCTCCCAAGTAGTGACAGGAGGTTGCCCTAAGCGTTCAAGGTTCGTTTGGACGTACTGCCAATACTTCCTTGCAAATCCTACGAGCTTCATCTTGGTAAAACGAACACGTTGTATGTCACTCATATTGTACCACTCGAAGTAGTCATCCATGGTGGCTAACCAATCGAGGAAGGCATTCGCATCTAAACGACCATCAAAGTCAGGTGCCTCAACTTTAACCCTCTTCGTCGCATCATCATTGTAGTCTTACCGAGGAGTGTCTCAGTATCGTCTGGGCGGCGACGGGTCTCGTCCATACCTAGGGTGTGCGGCATATCCTCCATAGGCTCGTCAGTTCACAACATGAGATTCATAGCCAGCCTCTGTCCCTTGCTCATCCCATGGGTTGTCCTCTTCCTCGAACTGTGGGGGAAGGGTCTCAATGTGTAGCGGTTTAGCCTGCGGGTTACGTAGCCCTATAGACAGTTGGGAGCCTCTAGTGTGAGATGGTCCAATGGTGTCGAACTTAAGGTGCGCTTGATTGGTCTCAGGTACATTTCCAAGAGTCCCTTCTGCACCTTTACTAAAGACATGCCGATCAATTCTTAGGAGAGAATCTCTAATTTCTTGCTGGAAGGTCCTAAGCTCTTGATTAGATACCTTAAGCTCTTGAGTAGTGGCTCTAAGCTCCTGACACTGGGAGTTATATTCTTGCTTAATCTTGGCCAAAGATTCCTTAAGGCATTTGGTAAGTTCATTCAGTTTTAGTTCAAAGGTCTGGAGTCTCTGGTCCATTTGGGATTGAAGGGAGCTAACACGAGGTTCTAAAGATTGAAGTGCTTGGTCTAAGGTGTCTTGTCTATTTTCAATATCACGAATAGTCATGCAGTAGATAGACGAAAGCTAACAACAAAAATGAAGCAAGTAAAGAGCTACTAATAAAATGAAAATAAATTCTTCCTCCTTTTTTTTTTTGCTTTTTTTTCTTTTTTTCCCTCTTTCTTTTTCTTTTTTTCTTCTTTTTTTTTTTAAACAAATGAAAATGCTAATAAAATATAATATCTACGGTAGACAATAATCAATAAAATGGCAAAAGCAAACTAGTAACCTCTAGTATGTCAAACTAGTCGCAGTAAGTTAAAGAGAGGGTCAATTGCGCCTTACCACACACTTAAAGAGACTAGAAAAAAATTACCCCAAAGTGTCTAAATGATTCTGTGGCCAAAGTGAAAATTTTGACAAAATCCGGGTCCATACCTGTAATTTCCTCCAACGAATACAGTCAGACAGTAAAATTTCGAAATCTGGGGTAAATCCGAAATTTTCTAGAAATTATGGGCAAGAATGTGTAATTTTAGCTAAAACTGAATCTGGAGCTGCAGAGACACAGATGCGTGTGGATATCACGCGCAGAGATTCTTACGGTGCGTTTAGGCGCGTGGAATCTCCGTTGACCGTGAAACTCCGGTGGCTGGCCGTGTTCCTCTAGACGAAGGCGATGGAGGTGGTTTCGTGGCAAACGGAGGTCATACGAGTGAGATCTGGGCCTTCAAAGTGACGCTGACAGTGACGCTGGCTCGTGGAGGCTGTTTTCAGTGGTTTCTGGTTGTGAAACTTTGAGATCTGGACGGATTGTTGCCTACGGTGAGAATGGAAGTGGCGACGCGGTGAACGGTCGTCGAAAAATGAGCGAACAATGGTGAAGGAGCGACGGCCGTGGGTTGTTTTGACTAAGGGCGTGTTTGGGCGTTTCAAAAATCAAAAGGCACAAGGAAAACCAAACTCTGGTACCAAAATTGATGTAAAACAAGAAAGGATTGGAAGGGATGAGAAGTTAGAGAAGAGGAAGAAGAGAGGAGAAACAGAGAAGCAGGGAGAATGGGAGAAAAACTTATCAATAAATTCTAAATGCCAAGTCTCATTACAACTGAAACCCTAAACTATTTATAAGAAAGAAATAAAATAAATAAAAGAAATAAAATGAGGGGAGTGGGGTAACTGCCCACGAGTGGGGTGAGTGGAGTAACTGCCCACTCTCTAAAATACAAAAATAATTAAACAAATAAAACAATAATAAAATAATTAGTTAATCTGAATCAAATTAATTTCTTAATTTTTTAACTTTTAACCTGGATATTGTAATTCAATTCCTCAAGTTTAACTTGTGACGACTTAATTTCTAAAATTTGGTCGGTCTAACAATTTCTTTTTTGTTGAGTTTAATCCATTGAATATTGCTTACAGATTGGTTAAAAGCGTAATTCTTCTCAGTCCCAATCCAGAGATGGTTTGTTCATTTGTTTTTTTACCTTTTCAGATTTCTTTCTTTATCTTTTTCCTAAATGCGTAATGACTCTTTTTCTCCGGAAAAAAAAATTCCATTCATTTTAACACATAATGCTAGATATATGCTGACAATGCTGCCATGTAGGCAAATATTTAATGACCTAAACTCGATAAGGACAAAACTATAAAAGAGACAAAATTTTAGTAACTCAGTCACGATTGATGAGATAAACTTTAGAAACTGAGTCATAAAATATTAAATACCTATTTTTTTCCAATTATTTTTTTCAAAATATTCACTTAGGTTAATATTTACATGTTAAACATTAGTGATTCGCTAGTGATTAGTAAGTCTTTCAGATTTTCGAATTAATCTTCTTACATTTACAAATCACTTTCTTACAGTATTAATACTTTAACACATACTCTTAGATTTATAAGTTAATTTTTATATTTTTAATTATTGATTTATTCACCAACGGTTGGTATGACTACCTGTTAGACATTTAAAATAAGTATAATCTTATAAATGTTACTCTTAGAAAACATAAAGCCATTACTTGAAAAATTACATAGTAAAAGGAATAATATATATACATGTGTGTGTGTGTGGACAAATAATATCTTATAACGGATCATATAAAAGGGGAAAAAAAAACTGGCAAATTTAACATACAACTATCACCAAATAAGATATACACGCACACAAAAATTAGGGTTGTACTTCGATTGTGTTATCATCATAATAAGGAATTGAATAGTGTTTCATTCATATGGACATGCCCATGTCATTGTAATCTTAATTCAATCTAAATTAGTCCTTATAATTTTGATTCAGCTAAAATTAAGTCCCTAAATTTTTAAATCGTTTAAATTTAATTCCTGACATTTAAAACGATGAAACTACAGGGAATAAAGTATTTTTTGAATGTCAAGATGTCATACTATAACATATTCATGCCAGTGATATCTTACCTCTTATTGTGTAACTAGGAAGGAACAAGGAATATTAAAAGTGCTGCTTATAATACTACTTTGAAATTAGAACACGTCCTATTAAAAGGTTAAATCTTCAACCAATGTTATCTTATCTCTCGTTATGTAATTTATAATTAAACGTTTAAGTGAGTATACTTTTTAAAATTTTTGATGATTTTCTAAAATTCGTAAATTAAAGTTTTTTTAACCTATTTCATTTTTGCTTAGACTCAGGCTTACTTTTCATTGCTTAGATAATATAATCATCGACTTACTCTATAAGCATCAACATATCAAAATTAATGGGTTAAAGGAAGACACATCCCTATAAACGGTAACGATTTCCCAATTTTCGCGAAAAATTGAACAATTTTCAGTTGTAAGTACATGATTGGTTGATTTTAGGTCATTGACCATGTTCAATTTTCAGTTGTATTGTTGGTGGTTGTCAAAGAAAAAGAATTATGCTTGTGATCTTTTATTTTCTTATCATAAAATAAAACGCAAAGAGTTGGGTCTCGTGGTACTAAACACCTGCTTCGAAACCTTTTTAAATGTAAATTGTAAGTTTCAATTTTTTGTGAGGGGTATAAGAATGTCAGAATGAAAAAGAACACGCATTAGTATTAGATATACGAAACGAATTTAACAAGACAAAATAACATAATTAATATGGATGTTACCGAAAAGAATGATTATTAATCTTTAGCTAAATTAAGAATGATGGAGTACTATGCGGTAGGGGCTCAAGGGCCCTTCCAAATAAACCTGACTGCCTTATTTTGATGATAATAAAATCTTTGGGAGTAGCCCTATGTGTGACATATATCTACCAAGAAACTGTTGAAATAAATTGTGCTGCAAATTATTAGACTTGTTCCTTACGCCAAAAATAGCTAAATTAAATGACTCAGATAGACTCACTAGATGCTTACATAGTCGTGATTAATCCT